ATCCAGATCCCGATCCTGATCCTCCCATCCCGAAACGTGTCACTACCATGCTGAACTGGAATATCATAAATCATAACAATCAGGATTTTCATAAAACGGATCTCTCCACACCGGCCCTCCTTCAAGTTGTCAGATCTAACATTGGCTTGGGTACAGGTCCTGTTCTTCCAGTAGTACGGGCCCAATACTACCTTTCACACCTACCTGTACCTTTCCCCAAGGCTCGACCTGATAATTCCAATTCGTCCCAAATAAACCATATACTACCAACCACCGCGTAACCCACATCCTAGACTGTTCTAAGATTTCCTCTACCGACATCAAACAGACCAATCATCACAGGTTGCCTTCATGCATGCAAATTATACACAGAAGAGGATCAAATAGAAGTTTTACGGGTGCCCTAATTACAAGGTAAACAATTTGCCCTAATTTATAAATTTCTTGAGAAACCTTGAAAAAAGGTATGTAATTCATACAAATTATTGTTTTTCTAGGTGGAAGAAGAGGACTGTGGTTTTTTCAAATGGTACAATGAAGAAGATGGCCACATTATCGACCCAACTCACACAAAGCAGGGGCAGGGGCAGGAGCATGGATAGTTGAAGACTTTGGTAGAAATAATTGTAGGTCTCTTAGTTCTTATTTTGGTAATGGTGACAATAGTTGTTTTGAAGATGTAAATTATTTTGGATTGGCTTTTGGTAGAATGTTTGGATCGACTTGGCTTTTGGTAGAATGTTTGGATTGATTTTAGTTGCAAATGGAAGTACAATGCTGAAATTGGCTAGTAACTGTTGTTTTGGATGAAGATTTTAGATACAAATTATTTGTGAAATGCAAATGGTAAACTACAATGATGAAATGGTACAATGTTGTGAAATGGTACAATGCTATGAAATGGTACAATGCTGTGAAATGGTAAAATACAAATTATCTGTGAAATGCAAATGGTAAACATAACAAACATATGGTTCATAATATAGATTAAATTGCTAAATGGTAAAGTACAATGCTGAAATTGGCTAACTGTAGTTACAAATGATACATAATATAGATGCTAATGGTATGGATAAAAAAACATAATATTAAATAACAAACTTAACAAACATATTATAACCATAATGAGGGGATTCATTACATCATATTCATGTACCATTACAAAATATTACAAAAGATCAACTAACATGTACCATCCATCCATTTTTACCAAATTGCCAAAAATATATCCCAAAAAGGCAACCCAAAAGGTACATGAGAACAATTGGATGAAAGGTGCACTTAGTGGGTGTATAAACTAAGATGTACAAAATGTACCAAAAAGGGCTTCCTGTGCAAATGCCCAAGTATACCATCCCCACCTAAATCCCCCATATACATAACTAACTACTCCAGATTCACTGGATTTGAACATGTGGAACCACCCTTATCTTTATCAAAAACTGCCTTTTTAAGCTTTAGTTTAGTGATACTCTCTGATGGCTTTCTTTTCCTTGTCTTAGGCACTATCAGATGACCTTCATCATCAGCCACATTCCCATCATCAGCAACCTCATTATTTAGAACATCACCAGCAGCCTCATTCCCATGATTAACACCTTCACCTTCAATCACATCACCATCATCTTGATTTTCAACACCTTCAACTTCAATCACATCACCATCATTTACAAAGTCAGCTTCACCTTCACCTTCAATCACACCACCATCATTTACAAAGTCAGCTTCACCTTCACCTTCAATCACACCACCATCATTTAGAACATCATTTACAAAGTCAGCTTCACCTTCATCAACATCAGGCTCATCCTCATTTAAGTCCTGATGCAAGAAATAACAAGGTTAATAAATTACCATATCATATAAATGGGAAAAAACATATATTTAAAATTAAAATTACAAGGTTAATAAATTACCATCTCAACTGGTGGAGTGTCATCAAGTTCAATTTCCAACCACCCCATGCTTTCAATTTCAGCCATGGAATATCTTGCTTCAAGTAAATTTGCTATTCCTTCAACACTTATCTTGATTTTATCTGGGAGAACATCTGATGCATGTCCTTCAGTGAATTCAGGTTCTTCACCACCTTCATTCACCAATGGAACATCAAATGCATCTGATTCATTTCCAGAACCAAGAATTTGATCAATTGCATCTCCAACTTCATCAAGACTTTGTTTTAGATCTTGGGCAACCTTTACTGGAACATCAACTGCTTCTTCTTCTAGCACCATAACTTCTTCTTCTTCTAGCACCATAATGGCATCTTCCTCTTCTATCACCTCATTCACCAAAGGAACACCATTAACTGCAGGAACTTGAGCAACATTTTTTGGAATATCATTAACAACTGGAACTTGGTTATTGACCAAATGAACTTCATTAAAAACTGGCTCTGGCACCTTCACTGACACCTCAGTTTCTTCCTCTTCTATCATCTCATTCACCAAAGGAACATCATTAAGAGAAGGAGCTTGAGCAACCTCATTTGGAACCTGGTTGTTGACTTCATCCTGAAATTTGGTTGTTGACTTCCTATTTTGCCTTCTTACAGCCAATTTCTTCCTTTTAACATCTGGGACAGTTACTTCACTTGACTGAGCACCCACAGATGCAATGTCACCAAATCTGAAACTTGGGCCTCTTAAACCTAATTTCCTCATTTTTTTTGCCAGTGTTAGAACTTGAAGCATGTAGACTGCCCTGTTGACTTGCTTGTTGACTAGGTTGAGTGGTTGCAGTTGATGTCATAGGTGGTTGACTGCCCTGTTGACTTGCTTGTTGACTAGACTGAGTGGGTACAGAAACATGTGGATTGGATCCAGCTACATCACATTTCCTAGGCCTCCAAATCTACCTTGTAACTAGCACATGCTCTTCTCACTTCAAATACATTTCCTAGGCTATGCACTACTAACCAAAGCCTGCATGAAGACAAAGAGTATGTATTAGTCATTATATATCAATTGTAATGACAGTTAGAAAAAGAAACAATTATTTTGTGTCTTACCTAAAGTTCTTTCCAAAAAGATTCATCTTCTTAATCACCTCTGGACATATATTACCTTTCCATTTACTGCATTCATCATTCATAAAGGAAAACATGTCCATTATGTATATCCTTATCTCTTCAAGCATTGTAATCAAAGGTTTTTTCCTAGCTTCTACAATTATGGAGTTGAAACACTCTGAAATACCATTCTCCACTACCTCACAAGCAAACCCTACACTCATGTAAATGTGTCTAGCACATTGCCTGTGCTCCACATGTGGCAAAATAACCTTAACAGATTCAAGCAAACCCTGTGAACAAACATATTATCTTAGTATTTATAACCATAATGAAATAATCAAATTGAAATATACTATGATTATAAGGGAACTTACTTTATGTTGATCAGAAATAACAACCAAATCTACACCAGTACCAAGGTCAAGATCATCCTTCAGAAGCTCCAGAAACCAGGTCCAATTATCCTTGTTTTCCACATCAACAACAGCCCAAGCTATTGGGAACACCTGGTTATTAGCATCTCTACTTATGGCTGTGAGTAATTCACCTTTTACCTGGCCCTTTAAGAAGCATCCATCCAACCCTATTACCTTCCTACACCCTAATTTCCAGCAAACACTTAAAGATTTGAAACATATGTAAAACCTTTTAAAATAATTCTTATCATCTGGATTGTTAGTAACACCAACTTTGCATGTAGACCCGGGGTTTGATCTCAACAACTCTTGGGCATAATCCCAAATTCTTGCATAATGTTCATTTAATTTACCCTCAATCAGTTCTTTTGCCCACTGTTTTGCCCTTCTAACCTGTCCTATAGATACCACACATCTATACCTTTGTTTGATGTCACTGATCATCTCCCTAAGTTTAACTTTGGGCTTATTTGCTATCTCAGTAACATAGTGTCTTCCAATCCATTCCAGGGTAACAATAGACCCAAATTTAAACACTCTAGAACAAAGATGCTCATAATTCATTGCCTTAACCTGGAAGGTTCTGTCATTGTACATCCAAGCTGCATAAAGTCTAAAAGGGCATTTATTATCTTCATGTCTCTTACCACATCTTGCAACAATTCTTCTATTGTTACTCTTTTGAAAGTATATTTGGTACCCTCCATTTACTGCATAGTTTGTCATACAGAATTTCAGTTGTGCAGGTGATTCGAACACGTCCCCTAACTTAGGTTCAATCTTATCCCACCTAACATTTGGATCATGTATTTTGTATTTGTTAGTCACTTCTTCCTCTGCCTCCTCATCATTTTGCAAATCATTACCATGGTCCACTCGATCTTTCACCTCATCAGTCATACTTGCATTTCTAATGTTCGCATCACAAAGTAGAATGTTAAGAAAATGATCCTTACATTTATCAAGCCTTGATACAAACTCCTGTCGTGGTTCATGATCCATGTAAATCCCGTGCAGCTCAAAATCCATCTCATTTAACCCGGAAAATGGCTCGTAAATTCCAACAAATGGGTCGTCGTAACCATCGTCTGAAGAACCCATTTCTAACCCCCTGCATAATCGCAACCATTATCATGAAAAGTAAGCAATTAATGGAGATGATTTCTCGTAAAAACCATGATCAGACCCTAATTTCTTACCTCTTGAAAAACCCTAGCTTCAGACAATGAGAATGCTTCAACAGATGGAGTGTTAACGGAGGAGAAACGGAGGAGAGGGGCTTAACAATGTTACCGGTTGCAAATGGGGATGTAACCGGTTGGTAAAGGGGAACCGGTATAAAACATTAAAATGAAACATGAGGGGCAAATGTTAGGCATCTGTGGCAAAAAAAATCGATTTTGGGCATAACCGGTTTTTTTATGTAAATTTGGGGGCTTTTATGACAAAAACCCTAAATCATATGAACATTTTTGCAATTTACTCTTTATTTTATTTATTATATTTAATCATAAATATATAATTTTTGTTAGTATAGTTTCTTTTTCCTTGGACAAAGGGAAAAGAGGAATAAAGTCGAGGCCAAGCACCGACCCATGGTTCCCTACTACGGAATGTACCGAAGGGAAAAAGGAAACGCATGGAAGATTTCGAGAAGAAAGTGAGAATATCAGAAGGCATGGACGTTGATCAAAATGGCTCCAACCACCACGAAATCGTCTCTTTGCTTCGCCAATTTCTCGGAGTTCAGCAGCGACGAGCGGAAGCCTACGCAAAACTCAAAAAGTTCGTTTTCAAAAACTTTTGGATATTTGTTTCTGTATATTTTCAATTTCTGCAATATTACTAGATCAATATATTTTATCGTTCGGAAAAACTGATATCTAACTAGCTTTGGATGTCGATTGCGAAACATTGCGTTTTCATTGTTTAAATTTCATGTTTTTAGAATTTTTTTTCTTTTGACAAATATTGATTTGTTATGATTTCGTTTTTTCCAGTAATTAGGGATTAATACATGATCTATTTCAAAATTAATACTACCACTTACATGAATCAAACAAGTAATTACAAGTAAAACTACGATTCAAATATTTTATCCCAAACGAGTTGGGGGTAGGCTATACATTCAACAATTGGAAATTAGGGCTTTGTACATGATTAACATCCTTCTATGCTATCTATTTGAAATAGTGTTGTCAAAATCTATGATTGCAGTAATATTCATACAATTTGGCTCTGATTTGATGAAGTATATGTCTATATGATACGATGTCATAAATGAATTAGACGTGAATGAATAAATAGTGAATAGTAATTTATTTATTTTCTGAAACAAAGCCAAAGAGTTATTTTTTTTCATTGAAGAACATAAACTCTTGAAATGTTTTAACTTATCTAACATACCATTGGTTAACAGGGGCTTTACTGAATTGGGAGATTCTGCTTACCAACAACTTTGCAATGAGATCACACTTCAATTTAATGACTGTTCCAAACAAGTAAGCAACATATAGCTTCCCTCTTCTCATTTGTGAAAAGACATAAATGCCCTCCTCACCCTCATCATTGAAAAGAAATTAAGTTGATGAAAGTTTATTCACAGGTGCTTGCATTGGAGTCGATATTTCTGAGTCCCAGTTATTCAAGAAATGATTTAGCTTCTATAATGAGATCTGTTCAAGTACAAGAGAAGCAAAAGCTGCATCTGGTAATTTACACTAATCCTTTACCTATTTTCCCTTCTTTTTTCCTCACAATTCCTCTCATGTTAAAGTTGATGAATATTGTGAAATGTGGTTTTTTTTTATTTTTTTTTTTGTAATGTAAGGGTAAAATGGTCATTTTGTCATGTTCAGTCAGTTTATTCACTTTATCCAGACAAGCATCATTCCTCAATACTCTTTTAACCACTTTACCCGTACCGAACTTAATGAGAAATAAAAAGAAACAACCCCATAATTGGTAGCTTTTTCACCTTATAAAAGACATTTTTGGTCTCTATAGTTTTAGTTTTCCGGAATTACATCTTTGGTCCCTGAAGTTTTTAGTTTGCATGAATCACATTTTTGGTCCCTGTAGTTTTGCTTTTTCAAAATTAAACTTTTGGTCTGTGTAATTGATAGACCCTGATACATTCTTGATTTGATACTCAAACTAGGATAGAATTAAAGATAGATTTCCATTCATTCGAGAGGAATGGTCTCTCCAAAAGAAGAACAAAGTTCTCTTACAAATTAATTCTTAGCTACCAACTCTCTAAAACAAAAGGACTATATATACTACCACTAGAGACAAGACAAAAGGGTATAACAGCCAACATCATCAGGTGTTGTTCCCACTAACAAAACAGCCAATAACAGCCATAATACCAAAAAGACCAAACTACCCCTACAGCCAAAAGATAACAGAATAACTCTACTAAAGCAAATCAACTAAAAGCACTCTAGGATTAGTTGCGGCTTATCAATACGGGCCGCCCAAACTTTCACCTTGTCCTCAAGGTGAACCGAAGAATAGATCCATCTGGTACTCAGTAAATCCCTCAATTTCTTTTGGACAAACTCATGTCTTGTAAGTTCCTCTTTAGTCTCTTCAACATTTAACTCTTCTTCGGTGGTTGAAACTAGTTTCTTCCTTTTATATTCCTTCAACTGTCCAACAACATGCTCCTCGATTGCAGTATTTGTGATCTCAATTTTTTTGTGATCAAACATCTCACAAGGTTGCAAATACTTCCCCTGAATAAGCTTCTCTATACGTACTCTAAATGTCTCAAAGGTCAAAGCATCAAACTTTCTTTGGTCAATGACAGCTCTTAAGTCAACAATACCCGTCAACAAATGTGACAAGGACGACTCATCATCTAATGGTATATTGCAAGCACACTGAGCAATATCAGCATTTTCATTCATCTGTGGAAGGTAGGCACCTCTTCCAACCAATATCAAGTCTATTTGACTAGTCTTTGCTGCCATCAAGGGTATCCTAGAAGTCATGATAGCAGCAGATGACGTGATCATTCCTTGATCAGATTGAAGACCAAAACAGACCCTACCTGATAAGGATAAGAACAGGTGAGCTTTAAGATCAACCATTGATACAGAATTATAAACAATAAGCATAGGTGTTTCCTTTGTTGCATCAGCTTTTGAATTTTTGATCAATATCTTGACCAGAGCCCATTTCTTCTGTATGATATCCTTGAATATTTCCAACACACCATCAAATTCTACCTCAGCTCGTGAACTTCTTATGAGCTTCTCCCCATTAGCCAACAAGGAATTCTCTTGGTAAATTGTCTTCACAGGTGGAGTCAGTTTCCAGTCCCCACGATCTTTTTAAGTATCTGAGAATAATTACTTTTGAGTAGACGAATAAGAAAATAAAAGTTTTCTACCCTGAACCCAGGAGTAACTTTGAGGACAGAAATTAAAGGACCATGTTCTCTTTGTTCAGGTATGCAGCAAGTCTCCTGACCAGCCCAAAACAGATGAATTTCAAGATGATCTTGCTTCACAGGAACATAAAAACTCTTTATTAGAGCTATTCCAGCCCCACCATACTTGTTTGCGAAGCTAGAATACTGTGTTGCTGTGTCCCTGTAGTCAGGAAAGTGTTGTGGAAGACAAACTAATCCTGGGAAGATCCACAGAGTAGGATCAGTTGTACCATCTCTTTTGAAACCTTTTAATTGATAACTGATTCCCAAATCACATAGGGCCGACTTACAAACGGGCCATGATCATTGAGAAAATAGCTTCCCTTCCTGTTTACTTAGGTAATTAAGATAAAGATCATGACTTACTGCATCTTCCAACACTACAAACAACTCCAATCGTTCCCTAGAAAAATTATCCTTGCATTGGAGAGTCAAGATGGCTTCTAAGATTTTGGAAGAGTTCGACGCTGACGACAACAGCGTCGTACGTGCCCCGGTAAAGAAAGAGGCGAAGGTACAGAGAGAGGTTGTCGATTGTGTTATGATCGACAGAGAAATGGGGGAGGTGCGATATGGTGGTATCTCGCCCGGATGTTGGGCTAACTTTCTCGCTGTAGATTTAATGAGGTATGGGCTTAATTTTTTATTGATTGTCATACCTGAGTCGAAGTCTCTTATCTGATCCAACTTCGAGCCCAACACTCTCATTTTGGCCCCATTATTCTTTTTAGGCCCACTTCTGTAATGACCTAAGTTTAACGGAGCCGTCCTCACTAATACGCTCCGTTGGATTTCCGTTTGCGTTTCAACCTGCCAGAGCGCCAACCGTCGCTCTCCTCCGCCGTTTGACGATCGGAATCGTCGAAGAAGCAATCCCTCAAGCGCTTCCCAATCTCTTATGGGTCGCCTTCCGTGCTCCCAATCATACCCAAGAGATGCATCACCTACAAGAGATCTCATCGCAGCCTCTATCACGTTCCCTTCTGTCGATTTGTGAAAGGAAAAGTCCCTTCTAGCTTGAATAATCCAGCTCCAGAAGCTTTTACCGTCGAACACGGGGATTTCCAGCATTTCCCAAACAACTTTGAGTCTCTAACATTCAGAGTTGCATCCTCTTTTTTGTTCTTGATTCTTAGAGGTTGTGGAGACAACAGTGGTGATGGTGGTGTAGATGACAGTGGTGGCAAAAGTGATGGTGAATGAAGCGGCAACGGTGGAGGGCATGATGGCGTCTGCGACGGCCGTGGTGGTTGTGTCGGCGGCAGCACTGGTGGTGGGAGCTGCGGGGTTGACTCGGATTCCAATTCCGACTCAGAAACTTCCGATGATACTTCTTCTTCATCCTTCAAGGCAGAGTAATAAATCTCTATCCAGTTAGCCTTCTCAACCTCCATTCCTTCCTCCGAGCAGTAGTACTTTTTCCATTTAGCTATCTCTGCTTCTTTCTCTTCATCTCTTTCCTTGTGGCTAATCCTCAAATCTTCTAGAGCCCTTGATTGTTGTTGTTGTTCATTTTGTTGCGTAGTTGTGTTCCCTTCTTCTTCTGATGTTCCAATCCCATCTCTTCCATCTCCGGTGAGGAGCCCTGCCTTCTCATCCAAGAGCTGGTCTATTCTCTTCAGCATTTCGAGCATATCCTTATGGAAGATCGTCATTTCTTCCAGGTTTCTAGCTTGTTGTTGGTTCCACAGTTTCTGTTGTTGCTGTCTGTCTTGCACTTTCCTGGTAGCTTCCTCCAAGTAGTCTAGTCTTCTTGCTGTCATTTCTTCCTCAGCATCAACTGCTCTGCTCTGATACCAATTGATAGACCCTGATACATTCTTGATTTGATACTCAAACTAGGATAGAATTAAAGATAGATTTCCATTCATTCGAGAGGAATGGTCTCTCCAAAAGAAGAACAAAATTCTCTTACAGATTAATTCTTAGCTACCAACTCTCTAAAACAAAAGGACTATATATACTACCACTAGAGACAAGACAAAAGGGTATAACAGCAACATCATCAGGTGTTGTTCCCACTAACAAAACAGCCAATAACAGCCATAATACCAAAAAGACTAAACTACCCCTACAGCCAAAAGATAACAGAATAACTCTACTAAAGCAAATCAACTAAAAGCACTCTAGGATTAGTTGGGGCTTATCAGTAATTTTTAATTTCCAAGAAATGAGTGACTTAGGTGCTGTTTGTTTTTTTAAAAAAACCTCTTCAAACCACTTTCTGCTGCGCGGCGCAGCACACGCGCAACACTTTCCCTCTCGCAGCAGTTTGTTTTTTGGAAGACTTCAGACTGCAAAACCTCTGCGCGTGTGCTGCGTGGCGCAGCACTTGACTTGCCTCTTCAAACCTCTTCAGCTTTCATTTTTTTAAAGTGTTTTTTTTAGAATTTTGGTATATCTTTTTTTTTCTTTAACTTTTATTTTTTTTAAAAACTTAGATTTTTTTAAACTTTTATTTACGGATTTGATACAATTTCTTATATATTTTTCACAACTTTTTTAACTTGATTTTAAAAAAAAAAAAAACTTTAATTTTTTACCGTTTCTGTTAATAATATTTTCAGTTTCAATTTCATTTTTTTTAACGTGCGTAATTTTTTACGAACTTTGTAGACATCGTTTGCAATTTTTTCTTAATTTTTTTTATTATTTTCTTTTTTATGTTTTTTAAAATTAGTTTTTTTCTAGAATAAAGCTGTTAGCTTCTTTTATATTTTTGTAAGTTTTATATTTTTGTTTTTTTACATGTTCTTTTTAGTATTCCTTCAATGTTTTAAGACTAGAATTATTTAAATTTCGATGTTGAAAACTATTTTCAGTTTATAAAATTAGTTTATTTAAATTTTAGTTTACTGTAGCAGTCTGCAGATGTTAAAAAACAAACATGCTTCTTATTATGGGCTGCAGCCGTTTGTTCCACCTCTTATTGCAGAGGTGGTCCGCAGAGTTCAAGAATTTTCGCTTCGAAAAAACAATCAGCACCTTACACTTTTTTGGTCCATATAGTTTAAATTTTCCGGAATTACATTTTTGCTCCCTGAAGTATTTAGTTTGCATGAATTTCATTTTGGTCCTTGTTGTTTTAATTTTCTGAAATTACACTTTTGGTCTGGGTAGTTTTTAATTTGCAAGAAATGAGTTACTTACACTTTTTTGGTTTTATTTTCCGGAATTACATTTTTGGTCCCTGAAGTTTTTAGTTTGCATGATTTACATTTTTGGTTCCTGTAGTTTTAAGTTTCCGAAATTACACTTTTGGTCCGTGTAGTTTTTAGTTAGCAAGAAATGAGTGACTTACACTTTTGAACCCTATAATTTAAATTTTCCAGAATTACACTTTTGGTCCCTGAAGTGTTTAATTTGCATGAATTACATTTTTGGTCCCTGAAATTTTATTTTTCCAAAATTACACTCTTTGTCCGTGTAGTTTTCAATTTGCAAGAAATAAGTGACTTACACTTTTTGGACCCTATAGTTTAAATTTTCCAGAATTACATTTTTGGTCCCTGAAGTTTTTGTTTTGCATGAATTACATATTTGGTCCCCGTATTAAACATTTGGTCCATGTAGTTTTTAGTTAGCAAGAAATGAGTGACTTACACTTTTAGTTCCTATAGTTTGCAATGTTCTGCACTTTAGGTCCACGTTTTGATATTTTTTACAATAAAACTAATTTACAGTATGAGTCCCTGCGGTTTCTATACTTGCTTATCACTCTTAAATCACACAAATAATCTTCAATACATTCAGTGAAACTTCGATTCTTGTTCTTTTTCAGTGATTCTATATTATCTTAACTCTGTTCATTGTGAAAAAAACAGACAGCAGCAATTCAAGTTTTGAAAAAAGCTGGACGCCCTTCAGAACGTTTAGTGAGCCATGAAAACTGCAAATTTAAAAATCATATGCAACATGAATGTGTTCATGTTCATGAGATAACAGAAGCTGCAGGAACAGAAGAAGCAGAAGCAGATGCAGAATATGATAATGCAATGAAGGAAGCGATTCAAGGAGTTCAAGATGCAGTCACCACCATTAATGAGCATTTGGAAGAAGTTAGGTATGAAATTGCTGCACTTGAAGCAGAATGATTTTTGGAATTACTTGTTATTTTGTGTTTTTTTTTATTAATCGATACTTTGTTTAGATGTTTTCGTACATATATACAATATTTAGTTATCTGGTTACTATTTGAAATTAGATTAAAGGTTGCTTATTTGTTTGTTATGTGATTTATATATCAGATACATTAGTTATATATATATTTTTTGTTTATTATAGCATTCTGCTTTACTTTCTTTGTTAGTAAGGTATTTTGTACTTTGAAAAATCTGCCCAATTATAGCATCACAATAATTTAATTTATTTTTTCTTATTACAACTTTTTATTCAAAAAAACTACTAAATTATAGCAGTGAGAATTTATTTGTATTTGGATGACAGTTGCTATAATTGGTAGATTTTTCAATGAAAGTGCATAACGGTAGGGGTATGTTTTGAAATTAGAAAATTGTTTTTATAACATATATAATTTCTTTATTATATTAACTTATTAAGATTAAGATATTTCTAGTATCAGTTGTAAGCGAGTTAGTTGTGTTAGGTACAAATTTATACAATGTCGTTTGCTATTATATATTGTGAAATTGATCAAATATCTTCTTTCTGATTTCATCGGTTATTGCTTTAACAAGTCTTTTTATTCGTTTGCTGTTTTTTTAAAGCTAAAAGAAAAAGAAAAAAAAACTGAAAAAGTTTGGAAACAATCTAATCGAACCTAAAAAATCCAAAATTATTGTTATAGTTATTGGTTTAAAAACTTGTGGGTTTGAAAGTCCAAAATTATATTATGATTAATGTAAATTGTTGCAGGATAAAATGTTTGTTTATGCAACGGCATTTTATATTTTTCTTAATTTGTACAACATAATTTATACTAAATATGCAATTATGTTTCTCTCTAAGGTGCGACACTAGTTATTTCAAAAAATTTATAGATTTATGTAATGATGTTTTGTTTTTTTGCCAATTATGTTTCATTTTTGAGTTGCATCAACTAATACGCATCATGTGCCAATGTTTTTACCGACTAAACATGTTATGATTATGTTAGTTGTGAAGATAAATAAAAGTGATGGCTTAAAAATCAATCAACTATTTTTCAAGATGATTTTATAGTTCAAAGCGATTATACAAGATGTAATAGAAGCTAATCCCAAGGTTCCCCTTTTTAGCTAAAGTACAGGCTACATACTTGGTTCTCTTGATGTACGTCTATGTTATAATCCTGAGAAGTGACGAGTCTAGAATAGAAATTACATGGTTCTGTAATCAATTTTAACCGGGTTAGTTCAACCAAAAAAATGACTTTTTCAACATGTATAAAAACTAGTAGTGAAAAAGACCGAGCTCAAATCAAACATTCCTAAAAAAAAATTGACTAATACCACCTTGGACATGGTGGTACTCGGTCTAAACCAAAGCTCAGCAAGCAAACTTATGGCGCTTATGGTCTGAACTATAAAAGATGAAGCATCTATTTATAATGAAAAACTCTTCAACACTTTCTGTTTGGAGTCGATGTGAGACTATTAAGGTAGGTCCTTTAATATTTTAAAGTAAGTCCTAAATATTTTTTATATATTAACTTGTAAAAATTTTAAATTTAGATGGGTCTAGTGACCCACTTTTGCATACACTAGCCTCGCCTCTAGCTATGAGGAGGTGACGAGGTGGTCTATGAGGAGGTGACGTGGTGGTCTTGACCTAAAAAAGTAAGTCCTAATTTTAAAACAACCAAATCTAGTTTATATACGTTACATATTGTTTTATGTAAATAACAACATAAACATTTCTTATTTTAGATGGTTAGGAGGGGTACCATCAATCCTTTTAATTTCAACTTACAGCGTTCCATTCTGAAGCTCCTACCTTCCGTTTTATATATTTTACAGGCTATGATACGATTCCTAATTTGCTTTTCTAATTGAAGTTACATTAATGGTCTTTGAAAATGATCAAAAACACCTTTGGATCATTTTAATCAATTTCATTTACAGTTTAGTTTAACACCTATCTATTAATGTTGTCGTTCTAAAAGAAAATTATGGTTCATACTTAACAAGTTAAAGGAAACTCCACCATCAATGTCTTAATCAGCTTCAAGTTATAATAGGTAGTGCCTAAAATAGACCTAGCAAGCAAATTTGGAAATTAGTTTATTTTTGTAGGATCTTTGGATCCCGATCCAATCTTAGGATCAGGATCTTAAAAATGTAAAACAATTTTATGTAAGATCCTGATCTTGACTAGTTTGCTTTCAACCTTCCTCATGTTAGCATTTTCTTCTGTTCATGAATATCTCAGGCAAAAAAGATAAGGTGGCAATGAGAATCCATAGCATCTGATCACAATTCTTTTATGGAGACGACGACTACTGAATCATGTAATTTTCTCACTTTTCGTCCCTGCAATCCACATACAAATGATTTCTAGTAACTCAATATCGGTTTAGTTGGAAATCAAATCTACGTATACTATCCAAAAACTATAACATTGCATTCAAGGGTTGTACCTACATATATAATTGTAGATCTCTGAGAGTTGTTTAGGCCTGCACATTGAGGTCTCGAGTCGGTCTTAGAAATGTTCGTTCTATTTGGGTCTGGATCTTTTGAAAAGATCTAACCTTTTTCAGATCAGTATCAGATAGTCTTGAACTGTTGGTCCGGTTTTTTCTCGATCCAGTCTTTCTGGGCCAATCATGGTCTTTCTTTTTTCGGTCTTGTCTCATGGTACTTGCATGTGTCTTTTTTCAGTTTAGTTTTCTGGGTCTTTTTGTTTGGTTTTATGGATTCGATTTTGGGTTTTTTCTATTAAAAAATATTTGATTAGCACCGATATTTTTCAGAACCGGTCATTGCAAACCAGTTCATTCCTGATATTTTTTCAGAACCGGTCAAGTGATGTCTAGATTTGTTTAAAAGTTCAAGCAAATACTTGGGATATGGTCAAAGGCCCTCAATGGGTTTGGAAGAACTATGTTTTCCCATGGATATTCATTCCGGCCCAACGAATTAATAACAAGAAAAGATACAGAAGCCGTAGAAGCCTTATCAGTTACTTTTCCCGTTACAGGTACTTATAATTAGTTGCGATTTTAACTAACCCGGTCCTATTTGAAACAATATTGACCCGACTCAATCAATTAGTCAATGCATTGCTAATCATTAGGCTCTTTGCATCGCAAATTCTAGAATACTCCACGAACTTGTGCCATTCATGTTAAAGATCCACACCCAACAGTTAAGCAATGAAAATAAAATTAGCATCATTTGACAAAATTATTTCTGTCAAATTATTTCTAAAATCAGCGGTTGATCATCTTACTGATTAACCCATAAAATATTTGAAAATTATGTTTGTGTAAATTACTCACCCCAACCATGTAAAAGATAATCTTATACAAGACTTTATAAACTTATCAAACAGACAATTCAATATCACATAAATATATTATTACAAAAGGAACTCAAATTGCATCATCTTATTCGAGTACAACAATCCAACAACTCAAATACTCAAACTTCTGTAATTATTACAACAAACAATTCAATACCAAATTACCACATTGCCACTCCAGAAACTTACCCACCAATGTCGATGGACTTCACTTCCGGCTTCTTCTCTTCCGCCTTGGGCACGGTCACCGTCAGCACGCCGTTCTCCATGCTAGCTTTCACCTCTTCCGTTTTTGCATTTTCCGGCAGCCTGAATCTCCTCAAGAACTTCCCGGAGCTCCTCTCTACCCTATGCCACTTGTCGTTCTTCTCCTCATGTTCCTTGCTCCTCTCTCCGCTTATCTGCAACACCCTTCCTTCTTCAACCTCCACCTTCACCTCCTCTTTCTTCAGCCCAGGCAAGTCCGCCTTGAAAACGTGCGCCTCCGGCGTCTCCTTCCAATCGATTCTGGCGTTGGCGATTGCTGCTGTTTCGCGTGATGATTCGGGTAGGTTGTTGAGGACACTTGAAAAGCCCTGGAAAGGATCCCAGATGTCGAGGGAGAAGGGATCGAATACGTTGCTCTTTCTGCCTGTAAAGAAACTTGGAATGATCGACATGACTGAAACTTTAGACAAAATATTTGATCTTTGGATTGTGACACTATCAAATCGCTACTCGCAACTCGCAAGTTCTCTTGTTTATGAATCTGGAGGGACGATAGGAGATCATTATTTACAGGAGGGAAAAAGTGATCGAGTGGTATTTAAATAGGGTTGTGCTATAAGTAATTTTAAATAGGGTTGTGCTATAAGTACCCTTAACTAATTTTACCCCTTAACCAATTTTACCCCCTAATATCAATCAAATCAACTTTTTATTTTTTATTTGACATTATTTTTTTCTTTTTCTTTTTCTTTTTCTTTTTTTTCCTTTTTGTTTTTTGATTTTTTTTCCTTTTATTTTATATTTTAATATTATTACTATTAAATTCGGATGACATTTTAAAATTCGGTAAGCATTATAAATTCGCACGACATTATAAATTCGCACGACATTATAAAATTCGTACGATTTTTTTGTCCGTAATTAAAAAATATAAAAAAAATATTTAAAAACCGATTTTATATAGCCGTTTGAACTTATAATGTCATCCGAATGTTAAAATTTTGTGTGAAATTTATAATAATAATAATAATAATAATAATAATAATAATAATCAAAATATAATAATAATAATATTAATAATAATAATAATTAAAAAAATTAAAAATATGAAAAAAACAAAAAAAAAACAACAAAAGACAAAAAGTCAAATCAAGATGGGTGGAATTGGAAAATGAAGAGTGGTACTTATAAAAAAAAACCCCTTTAAATATTTCTAGGCTTGTCTTGAAGGTTGAGGAGACTATTGTGAAAGCTTCCAGATGAGAGAGAAAAATGGCGATGTAATGGACCCACCGGGTTGATCTTGGTTTTGATGGGCCAAATAGATTGAGATTTTTATTAGGCCCATTAGTTCTTCGTGGTTCATATTGATTTATCAATTCTAATGTCTACTTCTATTTCCCTAATTATGTACTTATTTCACTTTAAGAAAATAGAGTAAATTACACGAATGGTCCCTAAGGTTTAGGTAATTTGAACATTTGGTCCTTAATTTATTTTTTTAACTCGGAAGGTTCCTACTGTTTGTTTTTGTTATGCGCTAGGTCCCTGTCTTACCTAAGAACACTATTTTTCCCTTGATTTTTTAATTTATTTAAATAAACATACCCCCAACCCCACCTATTTTTACAGAGACCATTTTTCCCTAGCAACACAACGTAGGGACCTTGAATATAGCCCCATACTTTTTCATCAAAAGAAAAACATATGATATGCACGTGATCAACCATATGCTAATATATTAATTTCAACTATCCCAATTGTTTTCAACTTTTCACCATGATACAATAAACACAATAGAACGCCAATTAATCAATGATCATATTAATTCCATTTCCACATAATCATGAAAGAATCTATCACATTCAAAAACAAGAGAGATAAATGAATCACATACAAAACATAATAATACATAAAACCATGTTGGTTGTTGGTTATACAGGACATGACATAATAGAGAACAGGTTGTAATGCTTTTGATTTTCATTAGACTAAATGACTAATGTCCATTAACAAAAACTTTTATATTTTTGCCCCACCCAAAAAAGTGGAATAGGGACCCACATTCAATCTCTTGTGTGTGGAAATGACCTAAATGCCCTCATAAAGAAAAAAGGCTAGGAAGATTTTTTTGCATTTGCATCAATGTTTCTCCAAGGATTGAGAGCTTCTCGCATAGCTTGAGCTTCGGGTGAATTCTCCCAAGCCTTCTTTTCCGACTCAAGAACTATCACTTTGTCAACTGTAAATAAATACATATCATCGAATATACCCTTTTATTGTCTTTTTTTTTATTCATATGAATATTTAATTCCCAACAAATGGTAGTTGACTACATTTTTAATAGAATGTCTGATTAATTTTGTTACATACTACACATTCATTATAATAAGAATAAGATATACTATGATGGTGTATTAGACAAATCAATGAAAGAACATTGTTATATTAGAAAGTTTTTGAATTCCTATAAATTTAAACACTGAAAGCAAATCAATTTGACAAAATGAAAAAAAATCGTTTTACTAAACAGATAAGATAGATAATCAAAGGGCATTGTTCATAAGTTCTCTTTAACACAAAACACACAAAGACGAATCAATAATATATCATCATTGATTCAAACAGATGAACTAAATAAGAGGAAAAATCAATCAAAATCCATAAGATGAAAAATGACTTACAAAAACCGATTTTGATCATGAAATACTCCATGGATCCTCCAATTGCAGCTGATACAACTGCAATCTTCACATACCAATCCAGGAACTTCATTGATTTACACTGGAAATTGTAAATATGTAAGAGCTTAATTAACTCAACACTGATTTAAATTTTAAACATTGGAAGCTTGTAAGAAACAGAGGGGCATCTTTTCCGATTTCTAGGTCGTGGTTAGTGCAGTTACCAAATAAGAAGGCTTCTTATCGTGATGAAAACCTGAAACCGATTAAACGTGGGAGGAGAAACGATCGACTGTGTGGAACGTGGAGGAGGAGCCGAAAACGGTTGGCCGATTAACCGTAATTCTTGAGTTATTACGGTTGAGATTGAAAGAAGGGGGAGTTTAAAGGCTGTGAGATTTATTGGATGGTTTTCCACTCATCGTCATCAATAGTAAAAAGAATTTCAACTTACCGTGTTCGATTCGGACAACCCTACCTTCCGTTTTATTTTACTGGCTATGATATGATTCCTAATTTGGTTTTCTAATTGAAGTTACATTGATGGTCTTTGAAATTTTGATCAATTTCTCTGCATCACCCCGTCTTCCATTTTCTTTTAGATTGTATTTTCCTGAATTTACAAACCCACCCTCCTCAAGTCTCAAAAACACCTTTGGATCATTTTAATCAATTTCATTTACAGTTTAGTTTAACACCTATCTATTAATGTGTTAGAGTCGAAGTGTTGTAATTAGTCGAAGTTTGTTTTAGTGTATTCGAACATTTTTGTAATCTATTTTACTAGGGCATTGTATTCGTAGCTTAACACTTAGTCTTTAGTATATTTTTTGTACGCTTTCCTCTCCTATAAATAGGAGTGCTTACTAGGGTCATAGTAAAAAAAAAAGTCTTTTACAGAATTACATCTTGTACTCTGTAAAACTTGAAAGCGTAATTGAGCTGAAACAAGATCATATTTACATCCTGTGTCTAAATCTCACATCATTACTTGAATTCATACTCTGATTAATTCATTACTCGATTCTTTGTTTCTTCAATTGGTATCAGAGCAGGAATCATATCTCTGATCTGATTTTCACGTTGTTCAAAAGGTTTTTGAATTAATTTTTGATTCAAAAGATTCCGCACTTTTTGAAAAGTGAAAAATTGTCTAGATCTTAGTCTATGATTCGATTCTGCATTTGAATCATTGAATCGAGTGTTCTACTAGTGATTCTGATTTGAATCATATAGTTTGTTGTCAAATTCTCAAAGTTTCTTAAAAAATTCTCAAGGATTTATTCCGTACATCAATGGCGTCTTTCAATCTTAATTCCATGACTTTGTTTTCTCATCTTCTAGGATCATCCACCAAAATTCCTATGTTAATTCCTGAGTATTACGATCAATGGGCTGATCGTATGCAGGATTATCTCAATGGATTGGATGAAGAACTGTGGAATTGCATTTCTGGCAATCTCAATCCACCAATGAATGTTCAACCAATTGGATCATCTTCTGGAAGTTCCGAAGTTGAAAAATCAGTTTGATCGTCTGAAAAAGCTAGAGAAGAGATGTGTGAGAGAACTAAGAGGTGCTTTGCCTCCAGTTGTTTACAACTATGTGAGGAGTTGTACAACTGCAAAGGAAATCTGGAACAATCTCAAGGAGAAATTTCAGGGGAGTGAGAAGACAAAAGTTAACTCTGTGAAGCAATGCTTAGTGGAACTGAAGGACTTCAGACAGAAAGATGGTGAAACGATTGAAGTTTACTACGATCGTCTTAATGAATTAATTTATAGATGCAATCGATATGGAATCACCAGATCAGCCATGGAGTTCAATTTAATTTTTGTTATGGGTCTTCGTAAGGAGTGGCGTAGTGTGAGCATGATGGTTAAGAATCAACAGAGCTTTGATACGTCAACTTTGAATAACTTGTACAATCAGCTAAAGTCTCATGAAAGCGAAGTGAACGAAATTGCTGAAGAATCGAAGGCAAGTTTGGGAGGTCCACTAGCTTTGGTTTCGGAGATCTCTGAAAGGGAAGCTGAGAAAGATGTTTCGGATGAAGAAGAAGGGTTCATCATGAACTCAGATGATGAGGCAATTGCTTTCTATTCAAACAATCGTGTGAAAAAGTTCTTCAAAAAGCCTTTTAATCCGAAGGCAAAATCATCTGAGACAAAAGGGAATTTTGTGAGTAAAAGTGCTGGGGATGAGAAGAAAAAGGAAGAGAAGAAAGATACGAAATTTGTTGAAGGTAAAATAGAGAAGAAGTTAAAGGGAGATGTTGGGATTGACTGTCATTATTGCAACGGAGCTAATCATTTAGCTAATGATTGCATGCTGAGGAAGAAAGATGAGAAAAAGAATAAGACAAAGGATGAAGCGTATTATGTGGAAAAGTTGGAGGAGGTGCGTGCGAAGGCAAAGAATCTTTCGTTAGTTGCTCGTGGTGAACAAGAAGAAGATGGTACTTATCAAATTTGGTCATCTGGATCAGATGATGAGGAGATGCGAAATCCAACCCACAGAGCAATGTATGCAAAGATGGAAGAAGATTCAGATGAGGAGGAATACGAAGTTCATGGGAGATGCTTCGTATCAAAAGCTGCTGACAAATCTCCGATGACCACGAAGGTACGTAATATTCTTGAATCTTTTAATATTCCAATACATGCTTATAATTCTGAATTAGTATCTTTCGATGAAACTGTTACTTATTTTGATTCGATTGTGGTATCTGCTAGCAATGAGGCTAAGAAGCTGTCTATGCAGTTGCTAGAGACACAGAAGAAACTAGATTCGAAAATTACTAAGATAGATTGTTTGGAACTTCAAATAACTAATATCATGATAGATAGGGATAATTTGTCTAATGAAACGAAACTGTTGTTAGCCCAGAGGAATATTTACTGTAATTCGGCTAAAAGATTGTATGGGAAATTAACTGAACTTCATCATTCATGCGAAATCAGTAAAGAACAACATAGAAAATTGCTGCCATTTTTAGCTTATGAAAGAGCTACGGTAGACAACATTTCGTATGACTGTGAAAAAGAAATAGCTGATTTTAACAAAGTTCCGAATGATAAATATAGATATGGAATAGTTAAAGTTGATGAATGTCTTGATGCGAATGAATTAGTTGATATTGTGAATGATACTTTGACTAAATCTGAACAAATTCAAATTTTGAAAAAGACTGAGAATTCAACGTCTGATTCTCAATCTACTTTTGCTGATATTGAAGATAATTCTGATAATATTAGTGAAATCAGTGAGCTTGAAGATGTTGATTGTTCTCAGTTGTCTGTTGTTAATATTGCTTCAACATCTAAAGGGAAAGAAAAAGTTAAGGATTTGATGGTTGAATATGAAACTGATATACCTCCAACTTCGAAAGTTTGTGAAATGAACTTCGTGGATCTCAAAGACAGCCAAACTGACGATAGTGATGATGAAGATGAAGAGAAAATTTCGAAAGAAAATGAATCTTCAAAGGAAGAAGAAATTCCTCGAATAGTTGTTGATCAAGTGTATGGTGATACACAAAAGTTCGAAAAAGTAATGAATGAAAAAGGTGAACATTATCTTGAAACGAATACAGTCGTTTATCCAAATTTCAAATGCACAGATGATGTCATTTTCCCAAATCAAGTTTTCATCACAACTGGAAATGTTGAGAAAATCAAACCAGAATTAAAGAAGTTGGTTGAGGAGGATAATTCAAAAACAACTGAAGAAGGTTTTTTCGCAAATCAAAGCATAGTTGAAAACAACTTAACAAAGAATTCGTATGTATTTCAACGTCAAAAACCACAAAGACAATGGGTTGAAAAATCAAAAATTGAAAAAGAGAAATCAAAACTTGTTGAAAAAGAAAATGAAAAAGTTGTTAAACTAAATTCTAAGGAATTTAAAGATCAAATTGACAAATTTTCGAAGGAAAACAACATTTCGAAAAGACAAGCAAGAAAGAAAATATTTTGGCAAAATGTTGAGTCTCAAAAGATGTCTGAATCACAATCAAACAAAAATGTTTTCAAAGCTAAAAATTCCTATTTTTCAATGAAAACTCAACATTCATCTCAATCAAATCATACAAAGTCTGAAGTGAATAAGCAACCAAAGTTTTCGAAAGTTTCTGAAACTAACAAATCAAGAGCATTTTCAAATAAACCTAATCCAAATCAAACATTTGTTCAACGACAAAATTTTAAATCAACAGGTGAATCATCATATGCTTATTCTTTTCTAACAAATCCCAAAGTTGATTTTGTTCCTCAAAAGCCAAATTTTCCTAATCATACGAAGAAAGAAACTATGAAAACGTCACCTGAAAAAGGAATAACTTCAAGAAAGAACATTGATCATTGGCTTGAAGGCAAAGGAAAGATGTATCAGTCGAATGCATATTCAAAGGAGCAAATTCATGAAGCATATGAAAAATATGTGAATACTTCTTCGAACGGAAGTTCATCTTCTAAGGATTCGAACATCTCGGTCAAAGCTTGGAAACCAGTCTCAAAGGCAAAGAATGTTCATTTTCAAACTCAGAATTCGAAGGGTAGTGTTAGTGCACATTCGAAACCATCAAACACTTATGTTTCGGTTCCTTTAGATGATGAAGTGAACTTAATTGATAGTCTCAAAACCAAAGTTTGTGATTGGGTTAAAAGTTCTTCATTACATTCGAAATTAAAATCTAATTTCCAAGGACCCAAAAAGCCTTGGGTACCTAAATTTTTCCACTGATTGCAGGTACTGAGTGACGAGCAATATGATAATAAGTGGTATATTGATAGTGGTTGCTCTCGTCACATGACTGGGAAGAAGGAGAATTTACGAGATTTTCGAAGTCTCAAAAATGCTGGAGTAGTAAAATTTGGGAACAATAAAAAATGTCAAGTCAAAGGATATGGGAAGATCACAAATGGACAATTCACAGTGAATCGTGTTGCATATGTTGAAGGTCTTCAACATAACTTGATAAGTGTTTCTCAACTTGTTGTGGGCACTGGCAATCAAGTTCTCTTTAACGAAAAAGGAAGTATTATTTCGAATGTCAACACAAACGAAGTGTTACTGAAATCCAAAAGGAAA